ACTTAATCTATCAAGTGCAGACTTGACTATTATTACAGTAACACTAAATGATGGTAAAAATATTATAGTAGCTTCAGGATACTTACCATATGAGGTCACAGACCCAGGTAGGGACCTAACTATGCTCTTTAATTATTGCAAAAATGAAAAATTAGAACTAATCCTAGGTATGGATGCTAATGCACACCACACTATTTGGGGGAGCAGTAACATCAACCAAAGAGGAGAGGTTATAATGGATCTATTGCTGACTACAGACCTAAGTATACTGAACAGAGGTAGTGAACCTACTTTTGTTATCAGGAACAGGCAGGAAGTCATTGATCTAACAGTTTGTTCAAAAGGGTTACTTCAAAAGATAAAAGGGTGGAAAGTGTCCTCCGAACCTTCTCTTTCTGATCATAGGCACTTACGATTCACTTTGGAAATTAACAAAGTTGAGACGGAGTACTATAGGAACCCGAAAAGAACAAACTGGGACAAATACAGGGCAGATCTCTCTCGTGACCTGATTAACCTACAGTTTAGATTGGGGTCGAGACAGAGTACTGAAAGGGCTGTAAATATGCTACAGGACTCCATTGTCTCAGCTTACAAAGAAAACTGTCCTTTAATAGAAAGGAAAAGTACAGGGCAGGGTATAGCTTGGTGGAATGCTAACCTGTCTAAATTAAGAAAGAGTTCACGTAAGCTCTTAAATAAAGCAATGAAATCAGGTTTGGAACAACACTGGGAATCCTATAAGGACGCCCAAAGGAACTACAAATCTGCATTGAAAAAGTCCAAAAGAGAAAGCTGGAAGAAGTTCTGTGGGGATATACAACAACTCCCTATAGCAACTAGACTTCTGCGATCACTAAGGAATGGACCAAACAAAACTGTCGAGGCAATACTACTGCCAGACGGAATGTTCACCAATAATGATAATGAAACATTATCACATTTGATGAACACACATTTTCCTGACTCTGCAATTAACAACAGAGAACAGGAACATGATGCACAGGACAAACGTGTAACCTGTGCTGATTGGAGACTAATCAGGAAAGTGATAACCCCGAGTGGAATAAGATAANTGATAACCCCAAGTGGAATAAGATGGGCAATAAAAGCCTTTGGCAGTTTTAAAGCTGCAGGCTGTGACAAAATTTTCCCTGCACTTCTGCAAGAAGGGTTAGAGATAATCGTCCCCCATCTCTGCAAAATATTTAGGGCATGCCTTCCCTATGGTTATCAACCAGAAAGCTGGCGTAAGGTTAGGGTGGTGTTTATACCCAAACCTAACCGCACTATTATGAAGCAAAATCCTACAANACTAACTATTATGAAGCAAAATCCTACAGACCAATAAGTCTTACTTCTTTTCTTCTTAAGACTATGGAGAAACTTATTGATAGGTACATCAAGGAGGGGCCTCTTAAGGAGAACCCTTTACATGAAAACCAACATGCGTATCAAACGGGGAAATCTACTGATACAGCTCTACACTGCTTAACTACTAAGATAGGGAAAGCTGTAGAGAATAAAATGTATGCAGTAGGTATATTCCTGGACATCGAAGGGGCTTTTGACAATACTCCCTTCGATGCTATGTGTGAATCTGCACAACAGCATGGAATAGAACCACTTATTATTAAGTGGATAGAATCCATGCTTAAGGAACGCTCCATTTTGGGACAGCTCAATGAGACCAAAGTAATCAAGAGTGTTAAACAGGGATACCCACAAGGCGGGGTTCTATACCCCTTGCTATGGTGTCTAGTATTGGACTCGCTTATTAGAGAGTTAAACAAATATTGTTATACACAAGCCTATGCGGATGACTTGGTTATAGCAGTGGTGGGTAAATTCCCAGACACTATTATTGACTTAGCACAACAGAGACTTAACACTATACAGATATGGTGTAGTAAGTACGGTCTATCTGTTAATCCAAATAAAGCAGAGGTTGTTATGTTCACTAGAAAGAGAATAGGACTAGACAGCCTGGACACTCTTACTCTGAATGGACAAGAAATTAGCTTAAAATCAGAAGTAAAATACTTAGGTATTATCTTGGATAGTAAGCTAAAATGGAAATCACATGTTGAGTCAAGAATCAAAAAAGCAATGACCACATTGTGGACTTGCAGCAGAGCCTTGGGAAAGACATGGGGTCTCAAACCAAGAGTTATGTATTGGTTGTACACGTCAATGATTAAACCTATGATATTGTACGGTGCCCTAGTCTGGTGGACCAGAACAACACTCATTACAGCTAGGAAAGAACTTAGTCGCATACAGAGAATGGCTGCCATTGCCATCACTGGAGCATTAAGAACTACACCAACGGTGGCATTAGAGACACTAATTGGATTGCCTCCTCTGCATCTAGAGGTGAAAGCTCACGCCAAAGCTACAGCACTAAGATTCCACAACTTAGGTATGTGGACTTTGGAGAGTGATACAACAGAACATGGTAAAATACTAAAAGAGATAGACCAGGGCTTTTTAGAATACCCCTTGGACTATATCAAACCGGTTCTTAAGAATAACATTCCCTACAAAGTGGAGATCACTACACATAGAGAATTGAATATTAACCACCTGACTGACAAAGGAGGATTTGTGATATATACAGATGGATCCAAAAAATCAGGAAAGGTAGGTACTGGAATTTGGGGCTTAAAACCACGAATAAATGTCAGTATGTCATTGGGCACAACACCCTCTGTTTTCCAAGCAGAGGTGATGGCGATACTGGTAGGGGCTCAGAACCTGCTGGTATACAAAAATAGGAAGATAACTATCTTAAGTGATAGTCAAGCGGCTTTGAAAGCACTCTGTAACGATCAGGTGAATTCAAAGCTGGTCCTCGAATGCAGGGAAACTTTAGAATCACTATCGAGGTTCAACAAAGTTACACTAGCGTGGGTACCAGGACACAACGGTGTCACTGGAAATGAGAATGCTGACTTTCTAGCCAGGAAAGGAGCAGAGAACACCTATGTTGGACCAGAACCAGTGGTAGGGCTCACTGAGCAATCGCTCAAAGCGTTACCCAAGAATTGGTGCAGAGAACAACACAGGAAAATCTGGAAGTACTTGGTAGTACCTAGACAATCTAAAATGTTTATCAAGACCCTTGGTTTATTGCTGGGTGATCTTAATAGCATGACTAGACATCAAATAAGCACCCTAACTAGTCTACTGACAGGACATGGTCACCTGCTTAAGCATCTTAACGCAATGGGGGTATCGGAATCACCATTGTGCAGGAAGTGTGGAGTAGAAGAGGAAGACTCATTTCACATCATGTGCGAATGTGAAGCCTTGTCCACACTAAGATCAAACTACTTGAATAAACCATTTCCTGAAAAAGAGGATATTAAAAACCTAAAACCCAGAGAGATACTTAATTTCGCCAGAAAGACAGGACTCTTTGGTCATCTTTAGAGGTGACTTTATGGTTGGTAATGTATTAACACTTTGGTGATAACACTTAGGTGGGTAAACCGAATCAAGACAATTCGGTATGAGGTGCGCACAATGGACCAACAGGTCTGAGTGCATGGGCATTACGTCCACCTCAATAATAACTAAACAAGTTAAAACAAGTTTCTATAAATAATTATAAATTTAAGAATTTTTAATCATAAATGTACTTAGAAATTGTTTAATATACATAAATGATTTCTATACTATTCATGGATGTAATACTAAAACACAGAAATTTTCAAACTTTCAAAGGGTTCTTTTGAAAAGTTGATGAAATTGACATAAGCCCTTTCTACCCGGGACCAAGGAGTTATGAACACATAATAGTTGACTTGTGGCTTTTTATAGTGAGCCATTTTGACTATTTATAAATTAAATTTACCTCATCAGTTCTTCAGATTTATGTTGGGCTAATAGGTATTTTAATTTTTGTGTAAGTTTTTTACAGTAAAATATATCAGATGGATAAAAGAAACCCAACCAGAGCTCATTGTTTTTCTGAAAAATGACAGAACAGCAAACAGAGAAAGCATTTTATTAGTATTGTTAATACTAATCTATTTCTTAACATTGTAAATATTATAAAAAATATAAATATATTTCATGTTTTATTATTGTATTCACACTTATTTCACTAAGAAGTTTCTTTAATCTATTATACAAAAACATATATGCTGTAATTCATAAATTATGTTTATTGTTCAAATGCAACAAATAGTATAAAATACTAATAGAAAGAAAGGAAAATAAAAAAAAAAAGCCAGCACAAAGGGGTCGGGGCACAGTGGTGAAGTGGCATAGATGGATCAAGTATAATGATATCTGACAATGATTAAAATTACTATAAAAAAAAAACGAAGAACGAAAAAAGAACGAGGGAATTTTTTTCAATTTTTAAAGGTAATGTCTTAGACTAGATACGATTTGTGATCTTTTGACATATCATTGAAAGAAATCGGTTCGGTGAGAGCTGAGAAAAAGTGGTAACAGACACAAAAAATAATAATAATAAAAAAAAAAAAAACACATCTTAGTAAAACCAATACCTTCTCAGCTTCACATCGAAGCTAAAATACTACAATTAGTTGGAAAAACAGCAATTTAAATAAAAAAGTAAAAATAATATTTAATTAACAACAAATAGGACACAGAAGACACATGGTTATTTGATGTGCAAGGAAGAACAATCAATATGCCAAACTAGTACTAAACTAAACTTATAGAACTCATAATAAAACATAGAATATGATCCGATCCAGAAAACAATTTTAGTATAATTAAGATTTTATAAATAACAAATTTGTATAATAAAATCTAAAAAATTTACACATAAACACCTCGCATATTATACTGTATAAATTTTATAAACAATTTTAGAGATTTGATAATGGGCAGTTATTAACATTTTGAATTCTTAAAAATTTGTTTTGAAAATATATGTGCTATTTCAAACAAATTTTGAAAACTGAGATACTACACCAGATCATTAACATTATTAAATAAGTCAGTTAAGAGAATCTTACCTAGCAACACCAGCAGCACCACCGGGACAGGCTTGTACTGCTTCTTCTCCTGCTTTGGTCCAATTCCAAAATAAACTTCTTGATGTTTCAGGAGGACAAGACAATGATAATCTATCATCCATTCCTTCAACATCAATAATACTTAATTGAGGTGGCAAATCACTTGTTGGTGGTGGTACATTCCACTCAGTTGTTATTGCAACTAATTTAAAAATAAAAATAATATAATTAACTGATACTTTAAAGAAAAAAAGGAATTACCTGAAGGTAAATTTTGTTCTCCTTCTGTTATAGAATTATTTTCTTTGTGACTTATAAATAATTCTGATGTTGCAACAGTACTAGTTGTAGTTAATGAAACTGATGAAATATGTTCTTCTACACTAGATCCAGCAGTATCATCTAACTGAGGTGATGACAAAATTGGTGGGATTGGGGTTGCAGGCTTAAGAGTTAAAAGTTTATCAGCATTCCAAACACTAGGTTGTGATGTTATAAGCCATGGTGGATTAGGCTTTAAAGTTGTTGTGGAAAGTGATGCTAAAATAAAAGAATAGACCCAAATTATAAGACTGCATAATCACATCATAAAACTTAATTATTATCATAATATTTCTAAATACCTGGAATACAATGGTATTGAGCTTCAAGATATTTCATTGTACCAGGGCAAGGATCAGAGAATAAGCTAGTATTAGCCTGAATACTACAGTTCCTTTTTTCATTGCATCTGTGTAAATAAAATAAATAAGTTATTTTAACATTTTGAAAAATTTAAAAGCTAAAACATTTAAGTTAAATTAAATTACTTGGCTTGTAGCAAAGGTAAAGTGTTAGTGGACATGCAGTTAACACTCCAATCAGTGTTACCATGATCATTACATACTGTGATAGAGTATCGTCCATAAATTGCCCGGTCCAAATGAATAATTTCTCCTTCTCGACATTCCAGTTTAAGAGGTTTTCCTTCACAAGCATATACAGTATCATAGCGATTGACATCTATTAAAAATTAAAAAATTAATTTTCAATATTAATGTTTCAATAAAAATAATTTAAATAGTAAGTAGTGTAATAAGAAAATTTGTATAGGGATTCTGACAGCTTTTAGAAAATGGAGTAGTGGAGAAATTCACCCCTCCACTACTTCATGTCCATGAGTGGGCCAGACAAGAGCACCCTTGGTTGTGTCACTGTATAATAATAACTGACATTACAATATACAAAAATGTATTGAGCAAAATATAGTCAAATATAATATTTTTATAATGAAAAATTTACCTTTGGCTAGTATGACAGAAAACAAAACATTTAACAAGAAGAATACTGATTGAACATTAGTAATTTTCAATCTTGCCATCTCCTACGTCCCACACTGAAATAATTAAAATTGAGATTTATTTATTTTACATATAATATATTTTTAAAATATTATTTTTACAATATTTGTATATATACCTAATGTATATACGAATCTTAATATTTATGTAAAATCTAATGAAACAATTGTCATAAATGAAGTACTCCAAAATATTGCACATATTTAATAAGCAACGTTAGCAGTTTTACTTTAAACCTCACAAAAAAAAGAAACAATAATAGATTAATTTAAGAGGACAAAATTTAAAAATTTTAAAAAGCAAAATATTAAAATTATCATTATAAAAATCTATTCTAAAGGAAAAAACAAACATTTCTTGTTTTATTTTATTTTCTAATATTTAATTTGATTATTTATTATTTTAATGAATGTCTTGGATCAATTACACAATTCAAATTTATTTTGTAATTATAATATAACAATGTTTCTTAAAAATGACTGTAGAATTTGTAAAAATGAGTTTATACCATACATAATTAAAAAGAAATCATTTAGTTATCTTGATGAAATAATCTGAATTATAAAAAGAATATAATATAAAATGACATAGCTATTGTACAACATATCGTTTTTTAAGCACTATTGATATAATATAGTTCTTCATTAAATTTATGTGTTTTTTAATAATTAACTATATGCATGATTATTAATAAATGTATACAGAAAACATCACTTCACAATTTATTTTAGCGAATGATAAAAATTCTAATATGTCATCTCGGTTCAATAAAAAATAAATTTTATTAATCAAAAAATGTATTAAAAACTCATTAAAGATGAGAATTATATTAACATTTAAATTTATAATAAACAAATATTAATTTTTCTGTTTATAACGCTTAATTTAGTAGCCAAAAATTAATTTCAGAAATTTTCCTGATTCTATTAGATTTTTTGAGATATCAATTATCAAAACTATGTTAACTTTTATAATAAAAAAATATCAAATTTTCAGTGGTTCTTTTTTATAGTAATTTAAAAGGTGATATAATTTAAGGCACTATTTCCTATAATAATTAAAATACAAGGAGTTATGTTACATTAATTTATATATATATATATTATAAAGTATACATATTAATATCAACAATATTATCACATTGATGATACTACTTAAATTTAAATATGCAATATAATAGTACTGTAATAATTTTAAATCTAAAACTTAAAAAAATATTAAAAATTTTAGATGGTATCATCTATAAAATCAGTATTTTACTGATTTATTTAAGATTTTTTGTTTGTTATATAATTTCAAAATTGAATGGTATTGTATAGAATACAATTAACTCATAACACAATTTTTTTTAAATAAATAATTCTGATTTATTTAAATAATGTATGATAACATTTAGATAGAATTAAAAAGGTGGCCGTTCCAAGTATTTGGGATAAAGGTGAGGAAAAAGTAGAACTTTTAGATAGAATTTATTATTGAGGTATTTATATTAAATGCTTTTGTGAAAAATAAGATATTGACCAAAATAAAACTACACAATCATTTAACTCTTATCATAATTTTATTGAACATTAAATTTAAACACATAAATAAAAAAAATAACATTCTTGTATCTTTTATGAGAATTTTTTTTATGCAATTAATAATTTAAACTATTCATTACACAATATTCTCATAATATATAAGTTGAGATACCTAATCATGTTAAATAATATTCACCAAAATATGTTATTGTTATCATTACTTATGATTAACCAAATAATCTTTACTTATAAATAATATAGAAGTCGGTACATACCTATTTCATTCGCTATAATAATAGTCGTAAATCCATACTGGTCGTGTGCATATCAGGATAACTGCAGTGGTCATGCTAAACACTGCATGTCAATATGCACTATAAGGGTCAACAGTAGCAACACAAAACTACGTGATAAAATGAATTCCGACATCAGTGATGGCAGATTATAGTAATAAAATCAAAATTCTATTACTTTTCTCTAACATAATAATTTGCTAAATATCTACATATAAATATACAACAGACGGCAGCCGATGAAACAATGATAAACGAGACTCGCGCACACAATATGATTCAGGTCGCACCTATTGTCATACAACGATTAACACTTTGAGCAAACGACATATACATTTTGAACGTACACTATTATGTACAACTATAGAAACTGTAGAACTATTTACAATAAAATTCGAACTCATATATTAAGTGTTATACGTGTATAATACTACTGTAAAAGATACAACGGCGTCAACGACGACTAGTTAGAACGCGAAGGCACTGGGCGAGAAGAAATATCTTGATGAGGGTGGGGATGGTAGTGGTACTGTGCGGTTCACTCCCCACTTACTATTGTTGGTAAGAGCGAGAACGATAGATATTGGTAGAAATATGAGCGACAGAGTCAACGTATTCTACAAAGGCGTGTGGAAAGAAAGAAAAAACATTCTATACAGTCGCGTATACACACTACTACTTGAGTGTGTGTGTGTGTACGAAGCCAGTATTCTAGCAATAATAATTAACAGTGTGTGTAGAAGTAGTATGTGGAAGTGGTAACACCGTTGAAGGTAAAACATGCACACTTGGAATGAATTATCGCTCACCACCACTTTATGCAACTACTATCGGATAAATTACTTTATCGATGGCTAATAATAATCGGATTCAAATATTCTAATATTAAAAGTAAAAAAAATTATTTAGTTAACTATTTGATTTTAATAGATTTATAGTTTGAAGTCAATTGACCCTTTAGACAAAGTATTATTAGATAAACATAATTTTCGTATCAGATTGAATACTTAATTTATTATCAATTGAGTATTCTTAATTATCATCAAGAAAACTCTAAACAAAATATAATTACATTCATAACAATTTATTAATATGAATGTGTTTATTAATAACTATAAATATTACCCCATTACACAAATAGGGTCTCTAACAAAATTTCTACACATTTAAATAAAAAAATATTTTGAAAATATCGATAGTCAAATGCTTTTTCGATTTCTATCATGTAAGCATGATCACAACACATACAACTATCACTACTTTCATTATTATTTGAATAGATCATTTAAGAAAATAAAACAAAAAAGTTATAATTTATTAAAAATAAATTATAGTAAATAATAATTTGTATAAAAATAGATGTGTCCGCAGTAAAAAATATTGTTACTAATATTTTAAAAATTTATATAAAAACATATATATTAATGTATGTTAATAGTTTTAGATAACGAATACGATTTTAAACTTTAGGTTTCAGACTCTCTTATTAATGACAATATGAATTCTTTATAATTATAAATTTAAAAACACGATTTAAATATTTAAAAAATATATATCTCTTTGTAAAAAATACTTAAGTTATTTGCAATGCATTAATAATATCGTCCATGTGTTTATATAAATAACGTGTAATAGTGTTTTATATAAAGCCACCTATCATGAAATTTTTAATTGTTTACCAAAAATTTGATAGTTTACATTATAATTTTTTTCGAATATTTTATTAATTTAGACTTGCTGGTAACACATCAATTTTCATAATCTTTAATAGCATATTTGACCGATCAATAAGTTTAGATAATAAAAGACTGCACCTTTAATTTTATCCAGCATTCATCTTTAGGATTATAAATGTATTACTAGCTTTACCTAGACCTACAATATTTTTCAGTTTAACTAGCAAATGACGGTCGAAAGTATAGATAATTTATGTATGGTAGGTTATACCAACGTGTGTACAGCTTATCATTTATTTACTAAATTAAAATTTTTAAGACTACCAAATAGGTTGGACAAACATTGAAAGATTTTGTTCATATTCGTAGAAATAGAGATAATGGAATTTTTTTTGTGTCCGTATTTCAGTTACTTAATTTGCTTATATTTACCTCTAGACCAGAAGCGATTTTATATGAAAATGTGACAACTCTCATTCAAACGACAATTTAGAGCAAATTTTAGTGTCAGTTTTAAAATCTCTTTTTGATTTGAATTTTTTTTTCAGAAAATCCTATCTAGCTTTTATGTTTTTATAATTATATATATATATATGAGGAACGGTGTGACCGAGTCGGTAACGCGGCAGTGTTTGACGCGCATTGCCTCGGGTTCATTTGCCGAACAAGTGATCAGTTCGGTAATTGGAGTTGCTATCCCTCTCTATGGCGTCGGACTAACCACCCGTCCGGAGTATAAATGGTTAAGAAACCTCCTTTATCCTTAATCGCCCGGGAGAGGCTGACAGCGCTCTGCACACCCTCTTCCGGTGCGAGGCGTGGGCCCAGGAGTGAGACTCTTTGGAGTCCCGACTAGGGTCTACGTTCCGAGTCGGGTCCATGGTGGACCTAATATTGAGAAGCCGGGAGGCGTGGAGGCTCGTCCAGGAGTTCGACGATTCCATCTTGTTTTAGAAAGAGGAAACGGAATGCCTGAGAAAGAGGTAGCCTCGCCGCCCGGCACAGGAGGACCTGAGGCGCTTGTTTAGGCCGGTGCCTTAGGTTCTTGTTTTTGTGTTTTGTTTTTGTTTGTGAGTTGTTTTTCCAACCCTCCCTAACGGTTCCCACTGTGGGAATCGGTTAACAGGAGGGGGCGGAACCACGTTGCGAATCAGCTCTTGATTAATTTCGGGCTGATTCTCAACGTGGTGGTGTGAATTATTAAGACGGCGTGGGCCGCCCTGAAGTAATGCCACACGGCAGTTCCTGGGCGGCTCACAATAATGCCGGTCGTGGTAAAAAAACAAAAAGGGGGTTGATGCGATAGCCCTTAATGGACTGATAAAAGCGAAAAAAATATATATACAGAGTGATTTATTAAGGATAAAACACTCGTTTTCTCAGTAACTATTGAAAATTTTTAATTATTGATTAATTGTTTGATTCAAAAAACTCTACAATATGCAGTAAAAACATCATTTTTTTCATCCCTTCAAGGTTAAAAAATATAAACTTTATTTTTCTTAAATGGGAACCCCTATTTTTAATTTGTTATTATGATTTAAAATAAAAATATAAACAACTTTGCTCTTATAATTTTTTTTCCCCCGTTAATCGTTCGTCTGATACAGCTTGTTAAAGTGAAATGATTTTGGACTAAATTTCTATTATTTTACTGTTTTGAATACAGAAGTCACTAATTTTAATATAAACTAATTTTTATTGACCAAGATATGACATATAAAATAGCCATAATAATTTACGACTCACTAATTAAGAGATATTAATAATAGATTCAAATCGGGCCTTAACTATATTATTAATAGCACAGTCTATTGGTTTGTAAGACTAACTGTAATACTGAAGAATCAATTTCTTTGAAAAACCCAACTCTATGCGTAGTATAGTGACTCTTAATAATCGAATACTACGATAATGTTATCGTAATCATTGCTTACACAAAGTAATCTTTATTTTTGTTGACGGATACATATTAAAAGTTGTAGTGTAACGTCATAAACTGAAATAAGTTAAATTAGTTTGTTACACCATAGAAAATGAGTGACTCCTGTATTCAAAACAGTAAAATAATAGAAATTTAGTCCAAAATCATTTCACTTTAACAAGCTGTANAAACAGTAAAATAATAGAAATTTAGTCCAAAATCATTTCACTCTAACAAGCTGTATCAGACGAACGATTAACGGGGGAAAAAAAATTATAAGAGCAAAGTTGTTTATATTTTTATTTTAAATCATAATAACAAATTCAAAATAGGGGTTCCCATTTAAGAAAAATAAAGTTAATGTTTTTTAACCTTGAAGGGATGAAAAAAATTATGTTTTTACTACACATTATTGTAGAGTTTTTTGTATCAAACAATATTTTCCTTACCAAAAATTTAAAATTTTCAATAGTTACCGAGAAAATGAGTGTCTTATCCTTTATGATTCACTCTGTATATACGCGAAAGCTAAATACATTATAATCATAGTTAAAAAAAATTTTTATTTCAACTCAGTTTATGTACAAGATAGATGATACAGCTATTTCTAAGTCGAAATATAGTTTTAAACTGCTTTTGCTTGTCTATATTCTCTCTATAAATTACTGTGTGTATAATAATTACTCAGACTTTAGAAACGTAAAGCGTCAAATGAATGGTACAGAAGAGAGAACGGAGTGTATATCAGTGGTTCAATGTCTTTATGCGCCAATTACAAGATAATGATAGAGCGGCTAACATACTATTATAATAGATTTACTATGTAACTAAAAACGTTACAGATTGTACTCAGTGCCACAGTATATACTATAGTTGAACTAAGTTGATGTAATATAATATTAATACTACAAGAGAATACAGTTGTTTCAGAAGTAAAATGTAAATTAAATGTTTTTTTCGAAAAATAATCGTAATTAACATTTAATAGATTTAATATAGTGCTGATTATAGAATGAATTATACTGATAATTGGTGATTAAAATGAAGCCAATAAAAATGTTATAAGTGGGAATATGATAATTACTTTACTTTTTCCTAATTTTTATTAGCAATAACTCATCTTAATCATATGTTAAAAACAAAACAACAAACGCTTGTTAAAGTATCTCAATAACTTCAATTCCATAAAATTATTATTACTTCAAGCCTAGTAAATGTTTTATTTTGAAAGTTGTAGATTATAAATTGTTTTATTGACATCTCATCAATAATTACAGATTAATAATATTTCTTTTCGTATAACGTTATTAAATTTGCTTTTTATAATATTTAACCTGTTATGTTGTTATCACTTAACCCATAAGAGATTTTCAATCTTTGCAACCATAGTCTTAATTATAATGCTCATTGATTAAGCATTTCAAAAATAGTATAACCTCATTTAAAAAAAATGAGAATTGGAATAGTTTATCTTTGTTATACATATATTTATTTATAATTTTTATTTTCTTTAATTTTTGACAAAAATAGTTAAATAAAAATATTTTAAGTAGATACATAAAACATGAGCTAGATACATTATTGCTTTTCCTGACAGAAAATTTTTACGAGTGGGTTTGGATCCTAAGGAAGACTTCAGTGTTACGGTATGCATTACAACTCTTGCGAGGCATATTACTATGTCTACAGAATTTTTAAATATTATTACGGCATCATGGATGAAATAACATTATTTTTACAATCATCTACAACAAAGAGCAAAAACAATATTAAAAACTAAAATGTTGGTTCTTTTTTTTCTAAAGTATTATACCGTGATACTGTATATTTAGTATTAGAATCCAGAACGGTCGATGGATGTCGAGTCTTATTGAATAACAATAACATTAAGGGGTAAGGCCAACATGAGCATCAAAAAAAAAGGAAATTTTCAGGAACGATTTCGGTAGTACAGTGAAAGCTATCGAATTTTCTTTTTTAGTTTTTAATCAAGTGTATGTCAACGTACCAAAAACATTTTTTTTTACATAATTCCGAT